GTGTATCATGTAAAATGTGATGATGAGGCAGACTGGAGATGTATAAAATTGTTATGGTTCTTCCCATTTGTTGTGACTCTGAGTTTTCAGTTTTCTGTTATCAGTTGTTTTGTTTTTATTTTCCATAATATTCTAGCATTATTTAGTTACTCTCTGTTGCCCCCTTGTGACTGTTTTCTTTCCCCTTGGATTCCCTCTTGCCAGTTCCACCCACACCTGCTCCTCATTCAGCACGTTAGTCCATCCTTTGTTCTGTTCTCCTTAAATACTCCACCTCTGCAGTCCGTCAGTGCTGGTTCCTTCTCAATGCTGTACTCTTCTACTCAGCTCACCTCCCTGTGGCTCCTCAGGCTCGTTTTTCCCCTGATGTCTCCATGGTTTTTGGTTTGTAAAACTTTTTAGTTAGACTTCTGGATTAGTACCTCTGTTTTCTTTGTTCTTCAATTAAACCTGTCAGAACTATCTCTGCTTCACTTGGCTCTGCATCTGGGTCCTTAAGCAACCTTACCACCCATTGTTGACAAAAATGCCTTTTTAACTGTTAATCGGGGCCACTTCCTGAGAGGTGAGCAGCTGCCTTCTGTAAACTCTAAGCAATTTCTCTGATCTGAGTAAGATTACAATTTCTATCAGAATCTGTTATGTCTGATGGTTATTTAATAAATATAAGTTATGAAGTGTTATTTAGAGTTAACACTAGATGTCCCGGAGAATTTCAGTTTTCCTGCAAGCCCCCCCTCCCCTCTTCAAGTTTGTGCATTCACTCTACCTTGCTAAAGTAAGTTTGTCCCGAGTGATCTCTTTTCAGGAAAAAGAACCGGAGAGATAAAGCTTCAAGGTATACATAGAGCATATCTTTAACAGATTAAAATAAGCAACATCAGAACCGGATCATCCAACAACCATTCCAGGATTTACCTGTTCAGCCAGTGACTGACGTCTGGGAGGTGGGCCCACTGGACCCCTGTTTGGTTGAGTGAGCGAAGCAGCCGGCAGCAAACCAGAGTGAAGGGAGGCGTGGCCAGAGCGAACCACTTCTCCGAGATCATCTCTGGTTTGGGGTGAGCAGAGGAGTGACTGTCTTTGGAAGGAAGGAGATGCTCATCATCATCTCCAGAGCTTCTCTCCTCTCTGAAGTACTTCCTGCACACGTCCTGGAAGACGGCGAGACAGAGCGTGTTGAGCAGGAAGTACCAGGTTTGGTGCTCCTCTTCCACGAAGCTGCTCGCTGCCAAGCTAAGCGTGTGAGCGACGGTTCCTGCCAAGAGCAAAACATCTAGCTCCGATAACGACCACTCCCCACCGGAGCTCCTCATGGGAGACTGTAAAAAAAAAAAAAAAAAAAAGCTATTTTAAACAGCTGGTTGGAAGAAAGATACAGTCAGACGACAAAAAAATATATGATATACAGACTGTTAGAATAATCAATATTTAATAAAATAACAGCTAGATGCTTTAACATCAAAAGTTTATTAACCTAAAGAAGGCAACATGGCAGTAGGCCATATGTGTATTTGCGGTCGGTACAGCCTGATCGAGCAGGCAGCGCCCCCTGCTGCCCAATGATAGGTACTACCCACAAGTCACAGATGATTTTTACCAGTGTGACATTTGTGTGAAAAGTGAAAATGAAGGCGTAACTTGTTAGGTTGAATTTGTGACTCACAGAAGCAGATTCGTGCAGTCGTGTTCATTGATTTGTATTTATGTTAAGGAAAAAAATGCAATTTCTTTTGTTGAATATTTTAATAGGCGCGTTTGAATTTGTTTTGCACATTTTTTTTTTCTTAGATAAACTGAATGGAAGACATTTTTGATGGGAACTCACAGAACACAGTTTGTGTACTTTGGTGTACGTTTTTTTTTTTTTTTTAGTAATTGCGGCAGATTAAAAAAATCTGCAATTGCAAAACCACAAAGTTACAATGTAAAAATAGATTTGCAACAATAGTTGGACCATTTGATATGCAACTTGTAGAACAAAATTTGTGTACTTGTACCTAAAATTTAAATGGATGTAAACAAAATTTGTACTTGTGATTTTTTTTTTTTTATTCTACAAATAGAAAACTTAGAATGTAACTCTCTACAACTTCAAATTCACACTTACAATGCCAAAATAGTTTTCAAACAAAATAACCTTCACAATGGTTCCCCATTAGAAAAACTAGTAAAATAATTAATAGATTAATCTATCAATTATAGCTTTACTTTTGTTTTGTTTTTTACTTTTGCTTTTTGTTGTTTTTATAAATGTTTTTACACATCAGTAACTTTGTCTGTTTTATTTTGTTTGCCGGCTGTCTATTTGTTCATTTTTCACAAGCAAATTAAAATAACATAAAATAACAATGACCTCAGGAATTATCGACAGCCTTTTCATTCAAAATTAAATCTATGAATACTGCCATATTATAAATAATGAACATATTATTTTAAAACATTACATTAAATAAATAAAAGTCTCAGTTAAAGCTGCAGTCTGTAACATTGAGGAGAGAGCAGACTTGGACTGAAAATTTGAATAAAAA